ATTCCTAATGGCTCACCTACAATGATTTTCTCAATGGATGGATCATTAGAGTCTTCTGAAGTCTGTTTAGGCCTGCAGCTCAAGATGGACTGCAACACTAAAAGCTCATAAAATGAACCACCTAGGCAGAAGCAAGAAACAGCTCTTCAAAGTGCCAAATAAAAGCTTTGGTGATTAAAATTTATTTGGTGTTTTGTGGACGACACAAATTGGGTTCCTGCGATTCTACATGCATCCTCAGTATTCAGAGCTGGAATCACATGTAGTTTTTTAATCATCTCTTTCAAAGTGACTTTTCAATAAAATTAATAAGAAAGTCTGATGCCACTGGAGCATGGACTCTTTTGTTCTACTTGCTTGCTGGAAGTGTGTCCATGCAGCACTGGCATATTATCTACTTCACAAAATTATAACCATTTTATTTGAGGAAGGAACAGTGTTAAGCAACCACCAGGTTAATAGTTTTAATTTTTAAAAATTAAGATAGCATGCCATATAAAGATTTCTACTACTTTCCAGTTAGACAGTGTCTTGGAAAACTAGCAAGGCGAGTCCTTTAACTGATCTTCTTTGGTAAAACAAAACAAAAAAGAAAAGAAATTTCAGTTCTCTGAAAACCATTTGGAGATTAGACACAGTTCCCTTAAACTGTATATAGCACTTCCTGTGTGTCAAACCTAATGCTAGGTCTGCAGAGAAAATAGAAGACTTGTGTCATGGTTTGGGGGATATTTGCAAGGGGAACAATATAATACAGGACACATATTTTATAAGATTATTTATAATAGTCACCCAAAGAATGATACACAAAAGAGTGCAGAAAATCTGTCCACACACTATAGCCCAAAAATCCAGCTGAGGGCCTGGATCCCACAGAAATGTCCCTCATGAGTCCAGCTGGAGAGCTAGAGCCCATAACAATGCCTCCCACAAATCCAACTGGAGGCCTAGAGCCCACGACAATGTCTCATGCAGGCCTGTTTCACGGATCTGTGCTGGGAAGGCCCAAACGTGGAATCTGCAGTCTATGCCAGCGGGATGAAGGATCTGTGTTAGTAGGCTGAGGGATCTGCACTGGGGCCAGGAAGTGACACTCAGAAGAACCAGAGGTGCCCTGAAAAGTGCCACAGCCATCCTCAGCAACAGTGAGGTCCCGAGCTCCTCAGATGATCAAGATAGCCGAGTTCAAATCAGGAAAGCCAACAGGACAAGCTTCTCCAGGAGCCTGAGCAGTATACCATCTTCCCCTTGGAGCCAGGAAGCGATGCTCAGAGTGAGGCTCAGAGCTCCCCCAAAATGAACTGAAGTTATTTTCACTGCCAACGAGGTCCTGAGCTCCTTGGAGGATGACAACAGCCGAGTTCATTAGGAAAACCAGCATGATGAGCTCCTCCAACAGAACCAACAACTCCTTACAGCTTCCACCCGTTCCCACAGCCTTTCTCAGTTCCCAACAGCTTCCTTCTCCATCTGCACAGCTGCCTCTTATGCTGCTGGCAACAATCCCCAGGTGGGCCTCCCACACCCAGCACCACGCTTCCTCAGTTCAGCTGGGGGTTATAAGTTGACCAGCAGTTGTCAATCCACTACAACTTGGTTTTCTCCCTTGAGGAAATCAAGAATCATAGTTAGATCAACAGATGATGTCAGGGTGGTGTGGCAGGTACAATAATAGACTTGGACTCAGGGAAGGGTGCTGGAGACACAGAAGAAGAACTGATTTATTCCAGGGAATAGCGTATGAGGAGGAGATGAAGCTGGGTGCTGAAGGATGAAAAAGAAAATGAAAGAAGTTAGAAGGTGAGGGGAACGAGGGGGAGGCTTGGCCTCTGGCAGAAGGGGAAGTAGAGGCACCTAGAGAAATAAGACAGGCTGTCGTTATTTTTTTCTCATTGCTGAGACAAAATACCCAATGCCCAAGATGAAGGAAGGAAAGGATTATTTAACTCACAATCTGTGGAGGTTTCAGTCCATACTTGGCTGGCTCCAAGGCAGAGTGGCACATGGCAGAGGGCAACAGTTCATGGCGGTGGGAACAGCAAAAGCAACAAGAGCGCAAGGGAAGAGTGGCAGAGAAGAGCAAGCCTCTGTCCCTCCCTTGTATTGTAAGCAGGCTCCCCCCTCCTGTGTAGCACTCACATGCCCTCCTTTTGCACAGGCTCAGGATGAATACAAAGCAAGCACCCTGGCTCCCTGCTGAGTCACATAGTTAACCTTCTAAACTTCTCAGATTGACACAATGAACAACATCCCAGAGGGGTAAGGGCATGGGACTTCAGTTCTTGCCCTTTGAAGTTTCAAACTTCACTTTCCCAGAGTTCTTACATATTTGCATTTCAACAAAGCATGGCCGGTCCTAATGCTCTGAAGTCCCATAGGTGAGCAGGAATGACTCGCCCAGCACATAAGAACCTTGGATTTCTCAAATATGTCAGTGGTACCCTGACTTTTTAGACTATGTTCACAATTTGAAAGTAGGCAAGAAGAGTACTTCTTCAATACATGTATATTTCTTTCTTTATGTGACTACAGGTGAACAACATGAGGGAAGTTTTTCTTTTTCAATCAGTTTCATTTAGTGATATCTCTTGAGTGTTTTTATTCAGTGACTTCTGATTATTATTCTTTAAAAATACCTATTCTTACTTTTTAGCCTCTTCTACTGCACTTAGCATTATTCTTATCATTATTTTTATGTCCTTCTTGACTCATCTGATTCAATGTACATTCAGAGAGCATGAAACTCAGATTATTTGGCTTTGTAAAACTGTATCTAAAGCCAGGCATGATGGTGCACGACTGTAATCCCAGCACTTGGGAGGCTGAGGCAGGAAGATTGTTGCAAGTTCGAGGCCAGCCTGGGCTATAAAGTAAGCTCAAGTCCAGCCTGAACTACATAGCAACATACTACTACATGTCTCAAAAAGACCAAAAAAAAAAAAAATGTATCTAAAATAAGTGGAAAAGTTTAGTGAGTTAGGGCTTGAGAGCTTGCCCTTTAAGCAAATTTATTATGTGACTGACTGTGTGGATTCAAGGACTGTATTTATCTCAAAAATTTGGAATTTTTTGCTCAAATTTTAATTGCAGGCTATATCCCAGATAAACTTGAATACCAGGCTCTTGAGTGCTGGACAATGAAAAGATAATTCTGTGTGCTATGCTCACTGATTTGATGGCATTCTTTACAAAGATTTGCTAACATTCACTTTCATTCATTGGGATGTATGCATATTTCTGCACTTGCTGAATGCAGAGAAAGATTTGACTGGATGCAAAACATCAAACCCTTGACCTTGCCATGCATATTTAGGACTGCCAAAAAGCAAGACAGAGGAGAAAGGAAAGAACATAGAAGTTAGGAGGGAAAATGCATACCATATCTAGAGCTCATTCTGAGCAGGTGCCCCTCCTAACTGGATGTGAGCTCTGCATGTGGTCCCAGTTCAGAGGCGTGAGAGGTGTGTGGCTGATGGGCTAAAGGGGACACAGACCGCTCAGCAACACAACTTGTGAGCACCCTCTGAGGTGGCTGGCAGACTTCTAAAACGTCTCTTCCATATCCTACCAGGTGCCCCACTCCAATCAAGATTTTATTTATTCTGTTGACTATAGGACTATTTACTCATTTTTACAAAAAATTTCATAAATATAGGAAAATACTGGCACCAGCAAAAGAACACATATACAGCCCCTCAGAATTAATACAGCTTCAAACTATCCTATTATCCTCAAAGTCTTTTTTTTTACACAAAATTACTGGTGCAGATTGACTTCTGTTTGAATTTCTTCCCAGTCTCAAAATTGACAGTTTGATGCTAATAAAGCACTTGGAGTTTGAGAGATTAAGTGGAAAGAATGAATAGCTATGATTCTTTTCATCCCAAATTCTGGGTTGTGCTGCCTATGCATAAAAGGAAGTATTACCAATCTCATTTACTGTAAGATTGTTTATTTCACCATGGAATAGTGCTTCCAGTGCCTCACTAGATATTCATTAGCTCTGCTTGATGAATAGCAGTGTCTTTGTTTTGGCGCATTCTTTATGGGTTAGGAGTTTCTAAAGCCATATTTAATTGATTTTCATACTTTTAATACCTGACAAGGGAGGGCCTGGTCTGAGCAACCACAAGAGAAATAAAAGGATTAAAACATCTTAGCTGCTGTTTTTTTCCACTTAGGAAACACAGAACACCAGATGTAGATATTTTAGAAACACAGTTTGCCTGTGGACAAATCATTTCTTTTCCCACATATTTTCTCTTGAACCGTAGGTAGGACGGGCCCAGGTAGGTTTCCCAGGAAGCAGAGAGGGAGCTTGGGTGTAGGGAATATTAAATAAAGCCCTGGGTGCCTCCCAGCAGGCTGCCAAGGAGGCCTGGGGTGGGAGAGGTTGAGTGTGAGACAAACACAGCAGCTGCCTTACCGATCCATGGGGCACTTGGGAAAAAGGGAGGCCCTCAGCATTGGCCCCATTTGAGGTAGCACTGCTCCCAAGGAGGGGATAAAAACCTCCTGAGAGGCAGTTCCTTGGGGTCTAGGGCCATTTCAGGACAGGACACTGAGTGTGCACCGGGGTGGGAAATGAGTGCTTCTGTCCAAAATGGTGGTGGGAGGCTCCTCACAACCCCAGCCTAAGCATGCGGTGTGGACAGGAATGAACAGGCCCCTGCAATGGTGTAGAGACTAATGACAATCAGTTTGTCACTCAGCTTCCCGAGGGAGAATTACCCACATTCATGCAGTCTGGTTTTTCTGCAAGTATTCTTGTTCTTCATCATAGACTATAGAAGCTCTATGAATAATTTCCCTGTTTTTAAACAATTCAGCTACTCATATATATCTGTTTAAGAACTATTTCACAAGGACTATATTCAACCACTGCGTGACAGGTTGTATACAAAGGAAAGAAAGAACTCTCATTCTCTGAGAGGAAGCAATATCACTGAAGAGATTAAATACCCAGAGAGAGACACTTAGCAAACAACTAACGGCCTTACTGTGCATACAGAAGGGCAGAACAATGTCCTCGGGATGAAAGTAGGTCCAAAGCTTAGATGGAGTTGCACGAGTCAGTTGCTGGAGAAACACCATGAATAAAAACATCAGGTGAAGCTTTTTGTCCTACATTTCTCAGAAGAGAATATTTTTATCAGGCTAAAGGGATTATTCCCTCACTGTATACTCGCTTCTTTTTACAAGCATGCAGGTTATCAAAACTTGTAAAAGCAACAACGGGACAGTAAATTTTACTCTTCAAAATTGTTCAGCCCAGGAAAACCTCATTTCACGTGTGTAGTAATGCAGTGACTTTAACTGCAATTTGGATTGAGTCATTTTCACATGGTGGTGGGAGGCTCCTCACCTATCTCTGTACCTATCCTGAAAAGTCATAACACACAAGTATCATTCCTGTGTTTACAGGTCAGAGATGTAGCCTTTCTGCCCAGAAGTTAGCATTGTGATAAAAACACAGGCACTGCATTGTTTACCATACCTCAGACAAACATGGCAGCCTCTATAACCGTGACTTCAAACTCTTTTAGCGCTTTCAACGGCACAAACAGCCCACTGCGGCACGTGCGCCATAGCTTCGCCACCACTGCTAGATACGGCACCTTAGGATAGAGACCATTCTTGGTTTAGAAAGAAAACAACTACATTTTGTACTAATTTGACAGCTTTGTAGAATTTTATAAGCATGACTACTGAGGTTGATTTACTTATTGAATGATTTCAATTATATAACATCCTAAGAAAATATCTGATATAAGTCGTATAAGCAGGGCTCAGGCTAGACTGGGTTTTATTTTGAAAGTTCCTTTGAAAGCTAAGACTTCAATTTCATAGAAAAATTTTCCCACTAAGTACCCTTTTCTATAAAATAAAGTTACAAATGAAGAGTAGTGTAGGCTAGACCTAGGGGCCTAAAAAGCTCGATTTCAGTAGGCCTAACTCTGTCCCAACGTTTTACTAAGTACTGATTCTTTGTAGAGTTGTCACAGAACTATAGATGCAGGAGAGGGAAATGGATCAGCGCTTTGGATATCCGGGATCTCATGACTCAGCAAACAAGCTGAGTGCCATGGGGAGGAGCGGAGATGAAGTAATGGATGAATTAGCGCCATTCGGAGCTCTAGATTGAGTTTTTATATATTTAAGATTATTTTGGGTGGCATTTAAGGATAAAGCCTAAATAAGTACCTGTGTTTCAGTTTGGTGTTTTGGTTTGTTCTGCTTCCCTTGCCCTGGCAGTTTTACAATACTTATTTACCTTTTGATCTTCATTTTCTGCATTCTCCTGACTTTATTTTATTTTATTTTTTTGTCTAAATATCATTCTAACAATAATACAATATATCTAATGAGAGAGAAGTTTACTCCTTGTCACACTAACACATCGGCTATTCCTATTTTCCGCCCTCTGGTTTATTCATACGTAAACATCTCTGTAACCAAAGCAGGGACGCTTTCATGCTCTGGTCTTTCTCACTGACATTGTATTATGTTTTATGATTCTTCTTCCTTTCCCTCTTTGCACTCCAAAAACCAAAAGCGAGAGAGAAAGCCCTGGTCTTCTTGATTCCTTTTTGTCTGCCCAGGGTTGTAAACCTCTGACCTGGGCATAAATTCCACGTAGCTCTCTGCAGAACGGTGTTGTGTGCTCAGCGCCTGCGACTGCGTGCATCTCTGGAGATATCTTCCCCCAGTTACAAGAGGGTAACTTTCTGTTCTCCTCCTGAAGTATGAGGGAGCTGTGTGTTTTCAGACATTTCTTTTGGGCAGCTTGTCTTTTTAGGTGCTACTTGAATTTAAAGATAATTTCAAATTTTATAGTTGAAGCACTTCTCAGCTGGTTCCCTTGAGAAGTAATCTGGCATGTAGTAGGCACTCAATAAATGTTTAATAAATGAGCAATATCATTCATTTAGGATCATGTATCCATTGCAAAATAATTTTTCATAATTTGTTTTCAAAAGAGAACTTGTGTGCCTATCAGAACAATTCATGAAAGTAGATCCCCTCAAAAAAACCCTTAAAAATCATAATGCTATGAGACATACATTTTAAAGAATGATGCCAGCTTTTCATTCTAACTGCTTTATAGATGTTTTTAACTATTGTAAACGTCCTGACAATGCTGCCATTCTGGTGTTGATGAGCTTGTCTTACAGTGAAGAAGGATCAGAGAGACTGAGAAAATTGTCCAAGGTCACAGAATTCAAAAGACATTGTTAGGGTCAAGATTTGGATGCTGCACTTCTAGTGTGAAAGTATGTGTTCTTGTAATGTCTTTCCAGTAATCACAGCCTGCATTTTGGTTTGACACAGCACTAGGAAGAGAAGGTATGGAAAGAAGCCTTGGAAGCATCCCTTGAAACTTGGTGGCTGTGTGCTTTGGAGTGGGAATGTCATCAGTGGTGATTTCCCACGGGGTGCCTCTATTCATCCTTAGCGACCAGGGCCACTCAACCCCTGGATTTCCTGAGTTGTACATGTGGGTTTGAAATCTTGGTGAGTTAAGTGTTCATGGTTGGTGGAGGTTATCTAAATAAATTGCTCAGAAAACTACAGAGAGCATGGTAGTTCTATATTATGTGGGAGAAGAATCAGGGGGTACAGGGGCTCAAAAAAAAGACTCAAAAATTACAAGCCTAAATTTTAATATAATCAATCAAAATAAAGTAAAATGAAATGAAATAAATTATTACAACCTTTCAAAAAGAAAGAAAGCGAAAGAGATTGAATGTTGTACTGAATCACGTGTAGCTAGGTATGTGCATTTTTTTTAAAAAAATCACACTTTAGCTTGATAGTTCATGAATTCTATGGTGAATATCCAATGTGTCATGCAATTTTATAAACATATTTTACATTTATTCATTTTAAGTAAGTTTTGATATTGCACTGTTTACATGTCAATCAAATTGTAACCTTAAGATACAAATAAATATTTCTTAACATCTAAATCTTTTAAAAATACTCCCTGTTGAGACTAATAATTAAGACTTTGTAACATTAAGACTAGTAATAACACGGGAAGTATTTTGGGGGGAGGCCTCATTTGGACCAGACATCCAGTAGGTAACTTATCTTCTTCAACTGGTGAGTTTATAAAATACATGAGATATCCATGTCTGCAAAATACTCCTAAGAAATATTACACCACTTCATAGATTAATAATTCTGTCAAAACATTAAATGAATACAATAGCCACATTCTATTTGGGGTCAGGAATTAATTTTGGGAAGCTTGATTGTGTACTCCCAACACATACTGTAATAGCAGGTTACAAAAATATGATAGGAAAATATGATAGGAAAAATATGATACTGTGAGTGACAAACTGGGTCATGTGAAAATGAAACTGAGTACTTTTTAATGAAAAAAAATCAGTTTATGTCATTCAGTGTACTCATGTTTTAGAATGAGGAAAGCATAATACAAACTAGAAAATTAGATGTAAAATGTGTACCCATATTTGTATAATATATATGTCATGAACTCTGCTTCTGACTATTAGTATCTCTCAAGAATTCCAGAAAAGTTACATAAATAGAAAAGTAATATAAATAGTAATATAAATTTGAAATGTGAATACACAGACTTAAATCTACAAATGCAGTGAAAATTTAATGTTGAATTTTCAGAAAAATTGCCTCTGAAAAGTGACTTTTTCAACAGTGACTAATTTATGGCTAACAAATATAGCTGAAGACAGAAGAAACATTTACAGATAAATTCTTATCCTATAGTTCTTTACGTCTATGACTAAACTCTTGTATTTGAATGGCCTTCCTTATAATTACTAATGCCTATTAATATTCAAACTCAAGAAGATTGAGGATATCTCTGTTTGGAGGCTTTCAAATGGTCTGTTTCAAGTATATTTTACTACCCTCTATTAATAGATTTGTGTTGCCCTAGTATTTTGGAAAGTGCGATTTTGCCTATTGGAAAATTTATCAACTTCATCTTCAGGGTTATGATTAGATGTTATTTGAAAAACATTCATCAAGACCTAAAATCAACACTGTTTATAAATATTAGTAGGTAGGAATTAATCATATAGCAAGTCTTTAATTCAGTGCAAGAAAACTACCACCACAGAATTATTAAAGATACAATAACCTAAGATGACTGTGCAGTTAAAGAAAAACGATAAGGACAGGTGTCAGAGTATAATAATAGTGAACAGGTCAGCTATTATGGTGATATGTGCTTTCGTTTTTCTTAGGTAAACACCTAGGAATGGACAGGAGAAATCACACAGCAGGGATATACTTTACTTTGTAAAAACTGTCAAACTATTTTCTAAAGTGGTTGTACCATTTGACACTTTAGCCTAATGTTTATGAGAACTATCACTTCTCTACATTCTTCTCAGAACTTTGCTAGTCATCTTAGTCAGTACTAGTGCTTTGGGATTTTTCTGTACAGAGATAGGACACTGAAGCCTTTTTCTCAGAAAGCACCTTTATTTGCTAAGTCACTCACTCAGCTTATTTGTATCTAAAGGCTGAGTGCCTAACACGGTGCAAATGCATCCTGTTATGCAATTTTTGTGCCTTTGTCTCCATTACATGGGAATACACTAACATTTTACAGTCTGATTGGGTATGGTTTATGTTACAGAGTTGCAGCGTAACTGCACATGGGTAATATCACTACATTGTAGAAGCTCTCACCTGCACACAACAGGAGGGGCCCTACCACACCTGTAGCACCTAATTTGTGATTTTAATTTAAATTGCTTCAGGACAAGTGATATGAAGCATCTTTTCCTGTGTCTATTTGTTAAAAGTTGTTGTTATTAGGATGTCTGTTTTCCTAGTTTGGAGTTTTCAGAGTTTCTATTTACTCAGGATAAAAATTCTTTGACAGATGCTTTGCAAATATTTTCTCCCAGCCTGTGACTTGTCTTTTGCTTTCAATAATGGGGCATTTTGAATACTTAAACAGAAATTTTCATAGAAGTATTATTTGTAGTAGTCAAAATTTGAGAGCATCTCAGGGCTGGGGATTTAGCTCAGCGGCGAAAGTGCCTGCCTGGCAAGCGCAAGGTCGTGAGTTCGGTTCCTGGTACCGGAGGAAAAAAAAACCAAAAAAAAAAAAAAAAAAAAAAATTTGAGAGCATCTCAAATATATATAAATAGGTGAGAAGATAAACTGCTGTCCAATCAATGGGAAAGTATTCAGCAATCTAAAACAATGCATTGCTCATATCTGAAATGATATGAGTGACCCTCAAAACAGTTATGTTTAGTGAAAGTACCCAGAAAAAAATCATTATAATTATATATAATTCTAGAAAATGCAAGCCAACCTGCAGGCAGAGAAAACAGAAAGTGGCTGTCTTGAGAGAAGAGGGAAGTCAAGGCATTTGGTGGGTACAGGAGAGATTTCCAGAGGTGGCAGTGTATGTTCAGGGGTCACGGGTCAGGAAGATTTTGCAGGTTTACGTTTATGTCTAAATTTTTCAGCTTTTACTCTTTTAGTTACATCTCAGTAAAGCATTCGAAAAAAATCTAGAAAGGTTGCACTGTACTTTCTGTTTTAGTTGAATAACCAAAAAGAAAAAAGGAAAAGAAAAATAATAGAACACATAACACTCACCACAAGTTATACTGAGTCTTATGTATATCGTTATAATACCAGTTGGCTATTCTACTGTAAGATTTTCCCATTGCAGTCTGGGGAAAGTCTTACCTTTCTCTTTTAAACTTTAATTTGAACATAGTTCCATTCCAAAAAATTTAGTTTAGATAACAATGTACCATAAAATTCTAATATTTATACTGACTGAGAAGAACCTATTGCAAAAATATTAGTTTTCATAGAAAACACAGTAAATTCTGTCA